GTACATTCCTCCTCCCATTCCACAGCTGCCGCCCATGCTTCCACCTCCAATGCTGCCTCCTACTCCACAGACGCCTCCTCCCATTCCTCCGCCCATGCCGCTGCCGCCTCCAAAGCCTCCTCCCATTCCACTGCCGCCTCCGAAGCCTCCTCCCATGCCGCTGCCGCCTCCGAAGCCTCCTCCCATTCCTCCTCTGCCTCCAGACACGGTGGTCCTGCCTACCACAGCTGGAAGAGAAGCACACGTTATACATATGTTGTCCACTGGTAGGTGGTATCTCCAAAAAGACATGGTCTTCTACTACTTCTCAAAGAAACAAAAACCAATACTTACAGACATTGACGTTGGACATGCCATCATTGCACAGCCTGTGAGGGAAAACAGGACCAGTTAATCCTATGGAAAGTTCATGTTTCTTCAGCTGAGAATTCCCCTTTTTTTACAAGCTATCTACTCCTGATTCTTCCTGAGTTCCCCAGTAATTCTCTACAATTGGCAACCTTGAACTTAACATTCTTATAAGAAGTATGGAAAACACACTTAAAGCTAAGAATTAGAACGAGTGATACAAAACTCATCTTTAGACTGCATCCAAATATTTTACCCGCACGTAGTATAATCTGTCAAGAATTTAGTCAAATGGATACCAAGAAAGAGAGATACCTGTTCTCCTCTCCCTCCAGCAGCTTCCTGTACATGGCAATCTCCACATCCAGCGCAATCTTGATGTTCAGCAGCTCCTGGTACTCCTTCAGCAAGCGAGCCAGCTCCTCCTTGTCTTTGCTCAGGGCACTTTCCAGCTCTTCCAGTTTTACCCTGGCATCCTTGAGGGCCATCTCACCCCGCTCTTCAGCCTCGGCAATAGCTGACTGCAGCTGCTGGTTCTGAGGAAGAAAAAGGGGGGCTTTCTCAGATCTCATCTGGTCACTCAGGATCAGCCCTCAACCCCCAAGTGGAGGAGTCAAGGGTAAAAAAAAAACCAGAAAAACAGTTCGTCATTTCCCTTCTGCACACCCTCCACTGGAGCAGCCCTCAGGGCACAAACTCCACGGGAAATAGGCAGGAGCCATCAATTCTGCGCAATCTGCTCGTACTGGCGCCTGACCTCCTCAATGATGCTGTCCAGATCCAGGTGCCGGTTGTTGTCCATGGACACCACCACAGACAGGTCCCGGCTGATCGTCTGCATCTGAGACAGTTCCTACAACCAAGACAGGCAGCCCAAGTGACCCTCAAGCCTAAACGCACATGGGCACCCAGGCCAACCTCAGTGTCTTTGGCCACCTTGCAACTCCAGCCAGCCCGGGGGAAGGGAGAGCTCCTACCTCCTCGTAGATGCACCTCAGGAAGTTGATTTCATCAGTCAGAGCTCCAACCTTGGCTTCCAACTCTACTTTGGTCATGTAGGCACAGTCCACATCCTAAAGGAAAGATCACACAGGTAGGCAACGGCTTCCTCCCGTCCCAGAAGAGCTGTTGGCAGCCAATGCCTCCTGGTGGAAGCTGCCCATCTTGGTGCTACCTCCTTCCAGTGTCTTCGCCACCCCCCCTCTCCTGGTGCCTCTGTGACTCACCTTCTTGAGTACCACAAACTCGTTCTCAGCAGCGGTGCGCTTGTTGATTTCCTCTTCATATCTGTTGAAGGGGACAAGACAAGAGGAGTCTCCTGGACTGTCCTTCAGTCAACCAGCAGAACCCCCCTTCCCTCCGTGGCACCCTCAGTCCCATTTCCACAGAGCTCCAAAGCAAAGGCAAGACAGTCTCCAAAGTGGCTTAGCTCTCCTGTCTGGGTGCTCATTTCCTCCTTCTTCTGTCACTGCACTTACTTGGTTTTGTACTCCTCCACGTATTGCCGCATGTTCTGCAGTTCCGACTCCAGCTGTCCCCTCTGCCCCAAAAGAGAGTCAAGCCTCCTCCTCAGGTTCTGGATGTAATTTTCAAAGATGGCATCCAGGTTCTTCCTTGGCCCCGCAGGCCCTTGTTGCTGGAGCAGCTCCCACTTGGTGGAGAGGACCTTGTTTTCTTGTTCCAGGAAGCGGACCTGAAAGCCCACAAAGGGATGTGTGAGATATCCACCTGGGGAGACCTCTCATTCCTCAAACCTCCTGCTTAATTGGGAGGCCAAGGGAATCTTTTCCCAAATCCCCAACTATGGCTCATTCAAACCTCCAAGCTCCTAACATGCATGATGAGCATTATTAAATTTTGAGTTATTGTGAACTTCCCAGTTTGGGACAAAAAGATGATGTTAAAGAAAACCCACATCCCTGTTTTCCATAGCATCAGTTTTGGACATTGCTATCGTCTTCACAGTAGTGAAGTCAAGAAAACAGAGACTCTTTTCATCTAACTGCACATAAATTCTCTTAGAAAGGATTTTCTATTTCTTTGGTTTCTATTTGAAATAAAAATAATCCCAGAGTGTTGGAAAGGTATTTAACACTCTTAAGTTTATAGGATCAGTTCCTTCAAAAGAAAGTTTCATCAAAAAGAAAAGCACAGTAATGAGAACTCGTAGGACAACTAAACCTACAATGATGAGTTTGCCCTGAATCACTAGAAATTCGGCTGAAGAGATGACTATGCAAGAGAATCCACAGAATGTCCTGCAGATGTTCTCTTTAATCTTCCATTAGCATGAAAACCTTGTCTATTGTTCCGTATTACTTAATTAAGACCTTAATAATAACTTCCAACTAAGGCATCAGTCTTGCAAACATTAACAAGTGCCTGTTGGTAAGAAAGAAATTCCCTTTCCACACCACAGAAAGCTGTTTAAAATGCCCGCCTCCAAATGATCACGGTCCTGAATTCTCACCTTGTCAATGAAGGAGGCAAACTGATTGTTCAGAGTCTTGATCTGCTCCTTTTCCTGGTTTTTCACTTGCTGGATCTGGGGGTCAATCTCAACATGGACCGGCCGCAGGAGACTGGGGTCAACTTGCACCGGTTGGATGCCTCCAGAGAAGCCAGGGCCACCAAAGCCACCCATTCCTCCACTGCCCATTCCTCCACCAAAGCCACCCATCCCTCCACCACCCATTCCTCCACCAAAGCCACCCATTCCTCCACCACCCATTCCACCACCACCCATTCCACCACCACCCATTCCACCACCAAAGCCACCCATTCCTCCGCCAAAGCCACCCATTCCTCCACAACTCATTCCTCCGCCAAAGCCACCCATTCCTCCTCCGTAGCTTCCACCAAAGCCACCCATTCTGCCTCCGTAGCCTCCGCCACCATAGCATCCACCCACAGTGATTCTTCTGCTGCCGCCCATGTTATGGAGGCTTCTGCTGCTATACCCTCCACATTGTCCACCTCCTCCACCTCCCCTGGAGGAGGAGTATGAACTGTAACTGATCTTGCTTCTGCCGCCACCTCCTCCAAAGCCACCACCGATGGCAGAGCACGAGCTGTAGCCCTTTCTACTCCCGCCTCCAAAGCTTCTGCAGACAGACTGCCGAGACATGGCTGTTCCTTCTAAGCTGAGTCAAAATCAAGAAGAGCAGAAAGACCAACGGAGCTGTGTTGCTGTGGGATGGATGCAGAGAGAAGTCCACAGTCTTCTCTGGCTCCACAGCTTCAGGCACTCCCTTTTATCCGCTTCTGGAGGTGGGCTGGGACGGCATGGGCGTGAAGGTGGAAGCCGATTTATTATTTTCATCAGCATGGGGTTGTTGACAGATTCTCAGTTGATCTTTACCATATTTGGGCCTGCCCAGAAACACACCCTGCAATATAGAAGTGAATAAAAGAACAAGAACATTGAGACAGGTCTCAATGACTAAGTGAACTCTCGTATCTTTATGACATCTTGGAAGCCAGCTTTTACGATAATGCGCTTTTCTGCAGCCCCTCATTGGATTTCCAGCCTTCATGGTTCCCAATTAATTAATTAATGAGCTAATGGTTCCCAATAATGCCAGATACAGATCTTTCCAATAAAAGCTCCACTGGAAGGAGCTGTTTTGATGAAATCCCAGCTATAATATAGCTTTCACAATTCCTTAAACACACCCTAAATCCCCTTTTTATATGTAAAGTTGCCTTTGGCATTTTAGAAGAAGTTTCCCAATCCTGAACGAGAACTCATGACACCGAAGTTTGAGGAGACTCAGCATATTCTCCTGCTAGGAAGGAATTACACCTCCTTGGAGTGCGTGTGGTGTCACTTTGAATGGGAGTGTCTTCTCCCTGTGGATTAAATTCCCTCCAACTGTATCTCCCAAAATCTGTGACAACTAACTGGGACCTCAGATGATGCTGGAGCAGAGTGAACGAGACAACCTGAACCATCAGGCTCCTTCTCTGTGCTCTCCCAAGGGCGTCGGGGAATGACGACATGTGGAGGAAAGAAGGGACACATCGGGCAGCTGCTTTGGTGACCATGGTTGGGGACAGACAAACGAGCCCTGTAGAAGCAGAACCACAGATGAACAATTCAAGGTGTTGAGGGGTTCTACTGCTCAGATGAATGTTGCTGACCCCTCGTTTACCTGGTTCTTTCCAAAGATGAGACAACTGAGGTGGAAAAACCTGTTGAGAAATGGAGCTATTACACCTTCTAAGGCACAGTATATCTTCTTAATTTCAAATATTCTGTGGGGAAAGTAACATATTTTAGAAATGTATTCTGCAGGATGTCTCTTAAATAAAGAAGCCCATTTTTGGATTGCATGTAAATGAAATTTTAAATAATTAATCATAAAGTTCCTGATTATGTTAGAAAATATTCAATGATACTGATGTGCAGTGCTCTGAAGAAGCTAGATTATAGGTGCTGGTTAAAAGGAAACTGAGGTCTGTAAATAGTATTTAAAAGGCATTCTGAAGGTATTATCTGTCTGGATGTTATCAGTCAAATATATATTTAAGTTAATGAGCGAAATATACAATGACTTCACATTTTCTGTAGATAATAGCCAGCATAAATAATCAGAAAGTGACAGAGAAAATATACATTACAACCCTTCAAAAGATTTAAAACAATAATGAACATTAATTTAAGGCTCTTAAAAAGATCTAAGTAGGATCACATACATCGATAAGGAATTTTCAGAATCTGCTCTAAGATTTGTGCAACTTAAAGGTTGTTTGAGAACATCTGTGGCCCACAGCCACAGATAGACGCCTCAGAGCCTTTGCAAAAGAAAGGCTCAGAAAATCACTTTCAAAACCACCAGAAGAATCAGAAACACAAATGCCATTGACTGTCACAGAGGCTGCCTGACACCACAGTCTCTTCACAGAATGGGGCATAGGGGAGGGGAGAATGTGCCCCTTGGGGGCCAAAGGGTGTCCTACCACTGAGGGACTCAAGTAACGGTTGGCCAAGTGCTGTTCTACCTCTGAGGGACTCAAGTCATTGTTGGCCAAGCACTGCCCTACCCTTGAGGGACTCAAGTCATCGTTGGTGAAGGGTTGTCCTACCCTTGAGGGACACAAGCCATGGTTGGCCAAGAGTTATCCACATGTGTGTGGCCTGCCCACTCAACAAGCTGTGGCTGGAGAATGGGCAGCCATCCCTACAGCGGGGATGGGACACCTTCCCTTTCAAAAGCAGCTGGAATGAAGAGGGTCTTTGTTCTCGGTTGTTCTCTCCAAGACAGTGAGTTAAGTGCTCCAGATCATTCTGCAGACCAGTGCAGCCACTCACGATGAGCACTCCCAGGGAGGTGTGGGGTAGCTCAGCTTTCAGTTGGAGAAAACAGGTTGTCTCTCCTCACGGCCTCCCTCCAGATTGCCAAACGCACGGTGGCTGCCTCTCTCGGGAGGCAGCACGACTTGGTTGTACCATCCCACATGGCGGCTCTTCATTGAAGGGGAAGATCTGTTAAGTCAGCCAAATGCCTGGATGCTGACCACATTCAGCACAGGCAGATAAGACGCCCAGATTGAGTCACTCTGACGTCTTCAGACAAGATGTGAAGATTATACCAAACCTGGAGTCACTTCAGCCTCCTCCAGGTAAGACTCAATACCAAGCCTGGACTCCAGCCGTTCCTTCACATCTCTTACACAAAGACTTGTACCCCGTAAAATCACCAACATTAGGCAAAATGTAAACTCTGCAGAAAACGTAGCTGGAGACCAAGCCCGGCTGCAGCTTGGGATCTCACACGGCAAAGAGGTTCTGGCAGCACAGAGGAGGATGTGGCAATGACTCCCCGCAACAACATCTACAACGCCGTTTCAGATTCTAAAGCTGAGTAGAAATGTAGTGCTAAGCTAAAGAACTAAAACAGGTGACTCTTGCCCCAGGCCAAACCTCAAAGTGCTCTTGGCACAGCCCCAGCTTCGCAGAATCATTGCCTTCTCATCGTCTTCTGTTTGGGCCAAACCCAGCCACCTTCCTCGGCTCTCACACACTTGTGCTGGGCTTCAATGCAAGTACAAGTCCCTCTGCCAAGAGCCCTGTGACCATTCCCCACTGCCTTCTCTGCACCTCTTCCTCCATCTGCAGCTCCTGCACCTCCTACGGGGACATGGGCACCTCACAGGAGGTTGTTGTGGGACTCCTGAACCACTACTGAAAGCGGTTTCTGGCTCTTTGATCTCTTCTTGTGGTGGAGGAACTGAAGCACAGATCAAACACACAGCATTCTTCTCCCATACCCTCCTCGAGCGAGACCAAATCTCTCCCACTTGCTCACTACGTAAAGAGGAGACACCGGGGGCAGGGGGGAGGTCTTGTCCCACTTTTCAAGGGGGGTGATGGGATGAATTGTGGTTTGGGATGAATCGTGCCTTCCCAGCCCTTTGTGTTCCTACTGCTGGTCAATGAAGGGGAGGATGAGTTGGAGGTTCTCACGCACTCCTGGTGCTTGTGGGGTGGCAAGCTGTGCAGCCTGCCTGGCTGCAGCCTACTTGTACAGCGGAGGATGGGTGCTTGGCCAACGGCCATCTCCATGCTCACAGGCAGCAGAAAACCTGCCCTCCCACCTCTGCCCACAAGACCACTGCCATCTTCTTCCCCCAGCACAAATCAAATTCTGCTACACCAGGAGATGATCAGATAGGAATGTCATGAGAGGGTGGTCAACTGTGTTCGTTGGTGCAACAGGTGAGCCCCGAAGTCTAGGACAGTGATCCTGCCTCATCTAAATTGGTCCACCACGACTGCTTGGAGACCGGCCTGGCTCCATCCTCTTCCCTCAAAGGATGGGTATGGCACCACGAACAGAGGAACAACCCACACCTTCCCACACCTTCCCACCAAGCTGCTTCCCCAAGAGCTAGGACCACCTTGCCTAGAAGTGGCCTCCAAAGCAAGGACACAAAGACATGATGAATGTTCTCTGCAATTTATTGAGAATGGCAACATCCCGAGGAAGAAGGGCATACCACACACAGAAGAGGAAGGCAGGTGGGGACAGTACATCTCGTTCCATGCCACAGGGGGCCTGGCACTGAAGAGCAAGCTTTGTTCTCCTTAGAAAAAGTCCACGTGTGCCTGAGGTGTTACCAGCTGTGATGGAGAGCAAGGACAAGTGGAACTGGAAGGCACTGCTCCAGAGAGAGCTCCTGCTTGCACCACACCTGGGGCTACCAGGGGAGCAAAGCCACCCGGGTGCTCCACCCTGGGGCAATTAATCCCTCTGGCCACCGGCCCAGAAGATGCTCCTTCCCCGGCTCTGCCAAGGGAGGAGTCCCGCTTGCCCCACACCTACCCTGACCCCAAGGCTAGTGAATGGAAGCAGCAGGATGTACCGCATGCAGAAGCACCCCGGGGACATGGCCATGGAGGAAGGGACACGAGGACAGAGGAGGAAAGAGGAGTTTTATACACGTTTGCCACGAGGCAGCCAGAAATGTACAACGCAGCGAGAGAGGCAGAGCGTTTCCCTCCTGTAAATCAGCTCTCCGCGCCAGGTATCCACGGGTGAGGCTTTTCTTTGCCCAGACGGTTATTTCAGCACTGGGCTTGGGGCTAACGAGCAGGTCGCCAGGGCCCTAACGGGACATGGCATTGCCACGAATCTCCCTTGATGGGACGAAGCCGGGTTGACGAGCCAGTAGGCAATGGGCCATGAGGGACACAGTTCATTTCATTGCAGGATGCCGGAGCTGAATTTAAGGAGGTTGGGCTGCTGCCAGGAGAAGATAGGAGATGCTTCTTTCCTTTTTCCATCCGGCCTTGGGGCTCAGAATCTCACTCCTGAGGATTTGACAGAGGTGGTCGTGACACATCTCCGTACGGAGGACGATCCTCCACCAGAGCTGAAGTTGCCACCTCCAGAGCCGCACATCCTTCCACTTCCAGAAGAGAAGCCACCGCTGTACATTCCTCCTCCCATTCCACAGCTGCCGCCCATGCTTCCACCTCCAAAGCTGCCGCCACAGATGCCTCCTCCCATTCCTCCGCCCATGCCGCTGCCGCCTCCAAAGCCTCCTCCCATTCCACTGCCGCCTCCGAAGCCTCCTCCCATGCCGCTGCCGCCTCCGAAGCCTCCTCCCATTCCTCCTCTG